CTTATCTTCAAGAAGACACGTTAGATTTGGGACAGGTTGAAGGTAATGCCACAAAGATGAACAGATGCTCCATACAGGAGGCGATGAAGCAAACTGGATCTCTTTCTTTCAAAAGTGTGATGCCTCTAGGTGGCCAGAAGAGAAGTGAATTCACATCCACTTCTCCATGAAAGAACCAGCATTGAGGAAGTGGCACAGATCGTGCACCAGCTGCTCCTGGCAGCTGCAGCAATGAGTTCTACAGAGACCAAAGTTTCATTTTCTATACCCAGAAAAGAACTTTTTGTGGCAACATATTTGTAAAATGATCTATGAGATGTGCCACTTACTGGCATGGGGAATGCTGATTAAAATGTGACTGAGTGAAGGAAATGGGGTGTCTTTATCAGTTACTTTAGCCAAGCAGTCTTTGACTGGAGGTACCTGCAGCACAGCTGCAAGCAAGCGTGGCCTGACACCTAAATTACCACCTGCGAGGTGCTTCACTATGTCTCATCAATTGTTCTAAGAAGGGAGCATCTAAAATTGGAGACACTAAATTCCTTGTGTTGTTTCTGAAGTGGTATCTGTTGTGCTGTATTTTCACTTAGGAAGATGGAGGTAGAGGTACACACGTATATATATATATAAAAAGAAGTTCAGAAGTCATAGGTCTGAAGAGAAGACATTATTTTAACAAAATGGGAAATGGTTGGCAATATTATTTCTTTCATATTAGTTCTACCTGATACTCTAACAGGACACATTTTTCTGCTTTGCAAAAGGATTTTGCAGCGTATATATTTGTTATGGTAAATCAGAGAGTAATAGAATGGTTAGGGTTGGGAAAAACCTTAAGGTCATCCAGTTCCAACCCCCTGCCATGGGCAGTGACACCTCATACTAGACCATGTTGCCCAAGGCTCTGTCCAGCCTGGCCTTGGACACTGCCAGGAATGAAGCATTTGCCATTAAACATCAGTTTAATGCATTAATTCCCATTGCACTCATTATTAATTTCTTTCAATAGTCAAAAAGGTTGTTAAAGATGTTTTCCCATCGTGGTTTGCTACCTGTGGTTTATGCCTGGCAATATAATCTAGTTCCTGAGGATAAGAAGTTTAAATGGGGATTCTAGCAGCAATTATCAGCTCAGAGGTGACTGGTCATGGCGATGGTGGACTGAAGGGAAAAAGACCATGATGGACTCACAGAGTTTAAGTAAGCAGTAAGGGTTACAGCAAGTGACCCTTTAAGAGGCGGACATGAATGCATGATGTGCATGATGTCTGCTGACCACTTCTCATTGACTCAGAAGTTCCTGGTATAAACTTCTCAAAACTTCCCATTAGTTTCATCCCGTCACTTCCATATCTTACTGCCGCAGCCAGAAAATACTTCCTGCCAAGCTCAGGACAGGGAAACGCAGCTAAAGCAATGAGCAAGAACTCCAGCTGCCCATCCATAACAACTCACGGGTTGGACTTAGTGTCTTCTCTGCTAAAACCAAGTCGATCCAGTTTATTTTTAAGATTTGGTAATATTTGGTAATATTTTATGTCAATATTATAGTGAATATTAACGTATCATTTTCTGCTATTGCTCTATACGTTACATTAATATCATCAGTGCCTTCTGATACTGAATTGGATCGAATGCAACATTTCATTTAACCCACAACAGCTTTTTAACTGGAAGCTACAATAGAGAATAGACAGTTTTCATGCAGAGAACACGTGAATATGAAATGAAATACATATCACAAATAAATATGAAGCCACATAAATATATACTCTTGTATATATAAACACGTCAGTTAAAAGCCAAATCACCTACAAAGCTGTACTGCTGCTCTGTGAGTGCAGAGGGGCTCAGAACTTGCCAGGATCTGACTGAGGGCACGTCACCATCTGTATTTACACACTCCATTGGACGGAAAATCACAGGCTGACCTAGGCTTTTTCTCCTTTCTACGCTCTCACTTCCTCATAGAGCAAGCCAAAGGCAGATGTTTAGGAGCCCTTCTGCTCCCCTTGCCGTGCCTCGCAAGTGTTTGCACAGCACTGTGCCCAGTTCCTGAGCAGTGCAAGGGATTATTTCCCAGCCCGATATTTACCCTTTGGCTCTTGGCAGATGGAGAGGAACGGCAGGCGAATGCCAAGCCCTCTGCGGGGAACAGGAGGTGGTTTCAGCAGGCAGAGAGGGTTTTATTTTCCCTGGGGAGCAAGAGTGGCTGCAGAGAGGACGCCCAGGAGACAGGGGTTGGCAGAGGTCGCCTTGCACAGGCTGAACCCTCGCCTGAGCAAAAGCTTTGTGTCCCAGGCTGCCGGGGTCTTGTGCGCACAGCTGCTCAGGTGAGAGGCTTCCATTTGTCTAAACCGAGGCAGGGGCTTTCTGACTTTTCTTACTGAGAGAAACTGAAGCAGCCCACGGGCTGGAGCAGTCCTCTGGAACCGGGTGGCTGGAACGAGGAAGGGGCTGAAGCCCAGCTCTTCCCTCATCTCTCTGATTATCGTGGTCACAAGAGCACACATGAATCCCCCCCACCGATCCCGCTGTGTTTGGGTGTCCTTCGCTACATACAAAGGCTCTAAATGATCCTTTACAAGATCACAAAAGATTGACTTTTGTGTTCATTAGACAGGGCTACGAATCAGGAAAAAGAAAACCCACTAGTTTCCCTCCTGCATCATGAGAACACATCCTATACCCTGCCTTCAAACGACAGCCAAGGGAAGTATTTACTTCCCTTTTCAGCTGTCTTTCAGTTATTGAACTATTGCCTAACTGTTGTTTTGTTGGTTACCGACATGCTTTTAACGGGTTTAGTCATGGAAGGTATCTGCTTGCGGCGGTATCAGCTCACTCAGTGACTTACCCTGCAAAAGGAGCAGCAATTCCATTTGCACAAGTCATCTCTGCTGTTTGGTGGGAAAACTCACACTGCCAAAATGAGATAATGGAGTTGGGGTTCCCATAGGCTGGGGCTGGGGTGAGATCCCGGGCAAAGAGTAGACAGGATGGAGGGAGGACTCGGGCACCCCAAGGAATCCAGGTTAGGAGTACCTGGGCTTTGGGCCCGCTCTCATGTCTCACCTTTTAATGCCCCTATCGTCTCTATTACACCCCCTTCGCATAATCCCAATGGAGCTGTATCCCATCAGAGAAGAAGTGGAGGGAGAGAAAATGCCTCAGCTCTCAGCAAACATGGTGGGTTTTGTCATTAGAAACATCCTGTTCTGAAGAGATCTCTTCGCTTAGGGGCAGGGTTAATCACAGAGGTAGAACAGGCTCCGGGCTTCCCTCTGGCCTGGGGATTTCTGCAGATCCGTTACTGCCACGCTCAGGAAACTGCTGAGCCCAGTGGTCAGGAGGACAAGCGATCCTTGGTTTTCACTGGGGATTTGAGGGGGAATTCTCTTTCTTTTTGCCTCGGACATTAATGACATTGTGTCACACTGCAAGATTAGATAACAAAGCTGCAAACAGTAGCAGAGAAAAGTGGGATCCCTAATACAACTTTAATTGCCCTGCGGGTGTGCATGCATCTGCAGAGACACAGAGAAACAGAGAGCCCACAGGAAAAGAATCAGCAGAACCTTGTTCCAGGTAAACTCGTTAAAGCTCCAACATTTACAGCCTGCTTCCAGTGAAACCGTCCTGTGAATTTAGCATGACGACATGAACAATAAAACACAACCTTCAGTACCTGGTAAAATCCTCTCCTTGGCACGCCTTCAGAGAATACACGTAAAGCTCTCTGAGGCGCACAGCTCAGAAGTCAGAATTGGAATCACTAGGCAGGAAAGACAAACTTGGTGGTATCTTCCCTTGGGCCGGCTGAGACAGTGCTGGGAAACAGATGGATTTTCATCACAGAGGTCCTTTTTCAAGTAAGTTTATGACAAATGGTACACAGTAAACCATAGTAAATCACGGGCAAGCTCTTACAGTATTACTATAAATAACTTATAATGCTGTACATGCTAATGATAATTGAGCCTTTATGAGCTCCCCAGAGTTGGGGAGAAGCACTTACATAAATCCACAGATCACAAAACATGAAGCTTTGAGGTTGGAGATAAGCAGCAAAAGGGGGTTGGAACCGGATGAGCTTTTAGGTCCCTTCCAATCCAAACCGGTCTGGGATTCTATGATTTAATTCCAAGTGTTCCCCTGAAATTGTCACCCTCAAAAGGAAGTATCTCTACCAGCCCCAGCAAGTAAAGAGCTGGTGTTCATGCAACAAGGCTCTTGAGCAGAAATATCTCCAGCAGTGCTGTAATGCTTTGTTATTTCCTTTTGCTAAGACCTATGGTTATGGTCACTGAAAAAGAAGGCAGAAAAGACTCATTAAAAATATCTAGACTTACAAAGGACCAAAAGCAATAGCAGTTCCGCAGGTCATGCTATTTAGCCTGCATGCAAAGCTTCCTCTGTTCATCATTCATTAATACGTGTGACATGACAAATGCAGGAGGATTCTCAAAACTGCTCAGAATTTACCATCTGCTTTCCCCAGGAAGCTTTGAAGACTGCAGCCTCAGGTCCTGTCCTGAGCTGGCAGTAGCACAGATAAATTGTCTTTGTAAAATGCGCCTTGAACATCGAAAAAAGCGCAAGGAATTAAAGTCATTCATATCAAAATAACGCCAAGGTAAATCCTGAGCCCAGTGAAAAATCTTGTCAGTGATTTCAGCACTGCCCCGCTTCCACTCCAGTGGCTTAAGATGAGGTAAGTGGAAGCTATCAGCAGAAATGGAGATGAGAAATTCACTGTCTCAAATACAGAGCTGGCACCTCTACAGGGAAGAGTTATTCCCTTGTGATAAAAAGTTATAACACGGATGTAACTGAGGCCATCACAGAGCTGTGTTACTCAATCAGGGTATGCATTAGGAAAAGCACGGCATTTCCAAGAGCCAACACCAGGCATAGGAATGCATGGCTATTATTTACATATTTTGATAAATTAACACATTCTATCATTCTCGGCAGAATAATTCCTCGTCATCTAGGAAGCCGTTTCACAACAGTCATGTGACTCATTTGTACTGCATCTGGGAAATTCCTCTCACGCAATCCCCATGCTAGCCCAGCAGAGGCGAGGGGCGCAAAGCCCTATATAAGCCACATGGATCGCCCTGAGAGGCATCAGCAACCCTTCGGGACAGAAGAGCTCACAGCTCCACAGAACCCATCCAGCAGCGGCTCCTTGCCCAACGATGAACGGCAAACTCGTGGCTGTCCTGGCTTTCTGCCTGATATCCGTGGCTGTCTCTCAGGGTGAGTGAATCCCTCCCGAGGACCATAGCGCTGTGTAGGCATCTCCGAGATGCTTCTCCTTGCACTGAGGTAGCTTTGCATTGGTTTGGGGAAGTTTCTTTCAGGAGATTTGCAGCAACTCCTCTGCAGTCCGAAGGTTTGCTTCACATAGCCCTTGTGCAGATGAGTTACTGACATCTTGTGGGAAAAACCTTAAGGATGCAGCTTGAATTTGCCTTGCTTCTATTTTTCACTCCAAGCGTTAGCAGAGAGAGACAGGATCTCCTTCTTAAGTGTCTGAATGTTTCACTTCCTTCCCACATAATGAACAGCTTATGACCTCATGTTTGTTACTTAATGATCATACTGCCTCAAGCAAGTAATATACAGCTGGGAACAGAGAACAGATATGAACACACAACCATGGACAAGCCTCCAGTAATGAAAAACTCAGGGGCTCTGTCTTCTGTGTAGTTGCCAGTTTGTCAATCCACATGTTGAAATGGTGCCATAACCGTACAGTGTGGCCAGTACAAGTAAACACAAGCCATGTAGTTTACTTTAAAAGGATGTGTTCATTTAGTTTTCAATGTACTTGGGCATCATCCCTTTTGAAACAAGCAACTCATCTTTATTCCATAAGGACTGATTTAGGCAGCTTGGACAAATACTGTATTTTAACTGAGAATGTGGATAAACCAGAGAAGTTGAGCTTTATGTCTGACCCAGCGATGGGTAGGAGCACCTCTCCAACCATGTCCTTCCTTTCCTGCTCACAGGTAGGACCCTGGCCAGGATGGGAACCGAGCTACGTTGCCAGTGCATAGCCACTCATTCCAAGTTCATCCCTCCTAAGTCCATTCAAGATGTGAAGCTCACACAGAGCGGCCCCCACTGCAAGAATGTTGAAGTCATGTAAGTAGCTCTGCAAGAACCTTCTTCTTCTTCACCTTCCTCCTGCTTCTGGGGCTTTCACACTTCATAACCATGACATGATGGGGTCAGATTTGGTTATTCTTTTGAGAGAGGCGGTTTTTAAGTAATACACCATGTTCTTCATCGTCTCTATGACCTTAGGTATTCCCAAACTGATCATTACTTATCTGTCATTGGACATATTAAATATTTCTGGGGGTAAAACATTAATTTCAAGGACTGGGCAGTTCTTGATACACGAGACAACAGTGCCCTTTAAATGCTACCTTTATTTATTAAGCAAAAATACTCCTGGGAAACAGTTTGGGTCAGTCTCAGAGGGAAAAAGTAAGTTCCCACAAGCAGACACAGGGAAAGAAATGAAATTAATTTGGTCTTAAATAGCACAGAGGAGGGACTGAAAGGTTGAAATCTTGTCCTGCTGAGGCATCCTCAGCGCTGGAGGTTTCAGTCACTTACGTAAACCAATTCAAGTACCCATATATATTGAAGAAGATGTGGGGAATGTGTGGCTGCTTTGAGAGCAGGCACAGAGTCACACAGCTCCTGGCTGCTTTTAGTTTCCTCTGCTGTGGAACACATAAACCAAATCGGCCAAGCCTAACCTAGAGCAGCTGGGGGGAATTTACACTCACCTACAAATGCAGTATTACACTCTGTGAGTAAAACCGACCCATGCAGTGGTTTCCTGACTTCTCTTTAATCTTTGTTTTGCAGAGCTACTCTGAAGGATGGCAGAGAGGTGTGCTTGGAGCCCACTGCTCCCTGGGTGCAGATAATCATAAAGGCAATTTTGGCCAAGTAAGTCCCATTCCCTTTCCATTTGGGCAGCTGAGGGCTAAACCTCCCCAAAAGGCCAGTTCTTAGTGGTACTTCCCATTTTCTCTTCATCAGATATAAAAACCCAAGGAAACTTGCTGATTAATTACAGAATTAGTCTCAGAATTGGTCTAGAGTCCGACTGCCGCAAGGTCCTTGTTCAAGCGGATGCGTCAATACTAAACCTTTGAGTACCTGCAGTTTGGTCTGGAAGGAAAGGAACTCGGAAATGTTTGCCTCCCTTTGAAAAATAAGGCTTAAAAAAACGCATCTTTCCTTTCTCACAGTCCCGTATGTTAACAAATCTTATTTCTGAAACAATGAGTTTCCTGATGCAAGAAAATGCAGAAACTCCTGCAGCAGCAGTTTCCTAGCTGGGCACCAGATATGCACACACTAGGATTTCAGTAATTGCTTTTGCCTCAGGACAGCCCATAGAGTGGCAAACAGACCACTCAACTGTTTGGTAATGCTAAGCGGTGGTAACTATCCTTGAACCTCCCTTTAAATGATTCTCTTCCCTCACCTCTTCCTAGGGCTCAACTCAACTCTGACTCGCCACTCTGAGAAACATCAGGACAAACAAATCTGGGACCTGCCCCCTCTCCTCCCTTGAGAGAAGCATTTGGGAAAAGCATCTTTCGAACAGGGTGCATCTGCCACCTCCTCCATCAGCGTTGCTCTGTTTCCTGCGGATTTGGTTATTGATTGATTTCACTGCATCTATTTAAGAAAGCCTTTTGGAATGGGCAGTGTCGCCTGCTCATTGACACTGAAGATGCTTGAATAGGAAAAGTGGTTTGATAAAGGAAGTGAAGGATCCTTGGCAACCACTTCAGCCGAACGCACCTGGGGAAGTGCACGGCACTCGCAGCACGGCCCGTTTACGCCGTTTTGCTAAAACCCAGCAAACTGATATTTCCTCCTGCTCCCCTGGAGCGCGCCAGTATGTTGTGTCAACAGCAGGTTCCTGAACCACAGCCAGCCTTGTGCTGAGAGCTGGGGTTTCTCACTTGGAGTATCTGTCCTATGGAATCTGTAAGATTTATTTATTGTGATTTCCATGGTATTTATAAATGTATTTATTGTGTAGGTTTGATACAAGAGAGAAAATAATGATAATTTATTTAATTTCTGCTGGATTCTCCATTCCTACTATTAATTTATTAAGAACTATTCACAGACTCATTCCTCTGTACAAGGACTTGGTTGTATGCTAAATTAGCTCCTTACTCTGCTAAAGGGAAAAACCTCCACCCTGTATACACAGAATTTGCTTGTGAGAGTGTCATTACTCCTAACAATGTATTATTAAATGTTTTCTATTAAAAAATCTCTTTGTTATCTGTTTGTTATTTCACATTTTCATGAGCTTTATTTGGAAACGGTCTGCTTTCACGGCTTTTTAACCTCCTCAGCCTGATCTCTGGAACTGAAATGGAAATGTTTCATACCTAGTACAATAACTCACCCTGTTAGGGTAGCCTGACATTACTGAAGGCAGTAACAAACTCTTAGGGTAAAGTAAATCATTCCCTTTCCTCTCTGCAGGCAAGTCCCGGTGCCTGGGGACTGGTGGGCTGCAGGGCAAGGCTCCTTACTTAAGTACCTTGCAGGCAAGCACATCGTCCCCTCAGATGCCAGAGTTGTAATGATCAGCCCCCGAGCTGTAACTCTTTACTGCATCAAAAAGCCACAACTGACACAACTGACTGCCAAAATGGGAATTTGTGACCTTTCTTTTGGTACCCCAAATATCCAGCATTTGCCCTTGCGTAGCACCTGCTTCCTATTCTGATACCTGGGGTGGAGTCCCAGCACAGTTAGGAAGACAGTAGTAGTAGAAAACATCCATGCTCAACGATTCTCTGGAATCATCAGCTCAAAGTGCAACGGTGGCCAAACAAAAGCCAGTGACATGGAGGAGAATCGAAAGAATTTAAACCACAAGGGTTGAGAAAAGAACAGTCCAATAACCAAAGCATAATACAAACCTACTACTACTCCTCCTCCTCATCATAATGATCAGGGAAATAACAAGGGGAGAGAATATAAATCTAAAAAGGGAAGGGATAAAAAATAAACACAAGTGATGCACAGTACAATTGGTCACCACCCGCCGGCTGACACCCAGCCCTACCTGAGCAGTGATCGGGTCCCTTCCGGGTAACTCCCCCAGTCTATGTACTGGGCATGACGTGCTGTGGCATGGAATACCCATTCGCCTAGTTTAGGTCACGTGTGCTGTCTCTGCTCCCTCCCGGCTTCTTGTGCTCCTCCTCACTGGCAGAGCACGAGAGACTGAAAAGCTGCTGCATTACTTAGCAGCACCTAAAACATTGGTATGTTACCAGCACTGTTCTCAGACTAAAGCTGAAATCACAGCACTGCACAGCTAGTAAGAAGGAGAAAAATAATGTCACATCTGAACCGAGGACACGGGGTAATGGTTGGAGTTGATCTTAAAAGTCATTTCCAACCTTGTTGATTCTGTGATTCTATGACTAATTTCATAAGCAGAGCCCATTAAACAAGGGCAAGCAATGTAACCTCTAGGAAAAGCAGATGCTAAGTTCATGGGGAACTACAGACCCTGAACAAAATGCAACCACAGTTTCAGAGGCATTTTGTAGGTTCAAGTGAACCCTAAGGTTTTGAAGGTCTTTCCATTCAGCTTTGGAGGAGAGGCCAGGGAGGATTTTTTGCTTTAAAGCCACGGTACCTGTCCTGATGGATTTTAACACCGCGCCTTTCACCAAGATGAGGTGACGGATGTGTTTCAAGTGAAATGGTAACAGTTGGCATGTTTCAATGGACCACAAGACTTCGCACTCGGGTGTAAAGGGGGCTTCTGGCAAGATCTCGCCAAAATAATTGTAACAGTGCAGAAAACAGTTTCTTCCTTCTTGTTTCTCTGCAGAAAGTGTTATCAAGGGTTGACACCTACTCCGCTAGTAGTAAAGCCAGCTAGCAAGCCCCTCATGCCCTTTATGCTCTTTATGCAAGCCCTCGTGCCACCAGAGTTCTGTTGATGGACACCACCTAAAGGAAGGTGACAGAACACAGAAAGAGCAAAGGTGAACAAACCACTAGCAAGAAACATCAGCAAGTTCCTAAACAATAAAAAGCCTGTATAATCGTGAACTCTAACAGTGATGAAAAGCACATATGTCAACACACGCCCCTCCTCACCCACTGAGTTCCACAGCTCGATCGGTGGCAGACCTGTCATAATTTGTGACCTGGAAACACAGAGAAACATGAGTGGGCAGCAGTTCTGGTGTGAGCCACGGAGGATGCAAGGCCAGCATCATTCACTGCCTATCAGGTACTCCATCCTATAGCAGGCTGGAGGAAATGCTGTTCCTGCCACCAGGAAGAAGCCCCTGGGATGGTGCCAGAAGCCTCACTTCTCCCTCTGCCAGCCAGAGGCCAGTGGCTGGCTGTCCGTCACAGACAGACTGTGACTGGCTACCAGTGTTGCAAATACAGTCGAGACTGGCAGAGCAGTGCAGAACCGGGGGGCTTGCAACAGGGTGATCTTGAAGGTCCCTTCCAAACCAAAACCACTCCAGGGTTCTATGAATACTCGGCCTGCTGGACAACAGGCCACTTGTACTCTAGACTGCTCTGGTGCCTGTCCTCTCTGCCCACACCAGGAACAAGAGGGAATGCTCATCCCTTCCCAGCCACACCATCCTGGGCAGTGATTGATGCCCCACAAGGAAGTTCTCAGCACCACGATTTGTCAACAAGACCTTGCCCAGCGGCCAGACTTACAGACTTCGGCTTTGTTGTCTGTTTTCACACACACAGGACTGGGGAGGGGGCAGAGAGGGTCACAGCAGAGCACCATCAGCAGCAAGACTTTTCTTGACAGCTCCCTTGCACCTGTGCCACAAGGACTGCGCCTCTGGTCATCCCATCAACAGCCACGTAAGCTTTGGGGTTACAGTGATCCTTGTCTTGAGAGAGGAGAAAACAAATGGGGGAGCCACGGGCTTTCAAGGCCAGAGGAGACTGTTCAGCTCATCTTGTGTGATCTCCTACATCCATTAGGCCAGAGAATCCTCACCTCCTGTTGATGGAGGCATTTGCTAAAGTAAAGGAGAAACAGAAAGCATGTTACAATAGTCACAGGGAAGGGAACGGGAAGACTAAACTTTCTTAAAGGCCTTGAGGTAACTCTAGTAGCATCAACAGGCTGATTTTCCAGCTGCTCTTTAAATTCACATCTCTGCTCTACCAGCAAACAACAGAACAAGATCCTTACCACAGACCAGGGATCTTTGGACATCTCTCACGATTATAGTCATCACGTTCACCTTGCTTCCCCTTTACACTCAAAACCATTTCACCTTTGCCTTGCCTCCCCTTTGCAGGTCAGTACTACACGTATGGACAGCATCCAGGACTGCGGTTTCTCCAGCACCAGGCTGGACTCACAACACAGCTGGATCGCAGCGTCCCGAGACAGCCTTGATGCACTGCAGGTCTCCCCAGTTCTCTGCTTGAAAGGCAGCATCCCATTCCCAAGGGATCCATAGGCTGACAACACACGCTTCTCTAGAACATAACCCCTCACTGAAGGGGAAGTGCTTTGCAAATGTTCTCACACAGCGTTGCAAGAGGCCGGTGTTTGGACACGCAAGTCTGCAGCTCAGTAGGAGCCCAACAGCAACATTCAGCTCCTTTGTTTACTTTTATGTGAACACTGGACGAATTCCTAAGCAAAGAGCAACTGCAGCCTGAGGAAGCAAGTGTCTGCCAGTAACTACGTGTCCCTCTAAAAGACTTCACAGTAGTGAAATGGGAAATATGCTTTAACACCTTGGTGATAGTGATATGTATCTAGCAAAAGCAGCCTGGAAAAACAAGCCACTGTTTAGGAACTCAGGTTTGTTCTACATTGAACTTACTTCGTGGACAGCTGAGCTGCCTCTTCTACTCTAGAGTTTGTTAATCCTGCCCCACCTGGACACCACTGGTACTCACGTCCCAGTCACACTCCTCCATCTACAAGCCTCGCCTGGTTGATGTGAGGCAGGACTGACAGGCACGTCCCAAGACAAAAGATCCACATTTGTTCTCTCCAGCGTTTCATCTGCTGCCCACTGACAGCATCATCAGCAGATGACTTTCAGGATCGGTTTCTCCAAGCATCTGCAGAGATCTGGAAGGAGGAGAAGTGGAGAGTGACGGAGATTCTCAAATCACAGAATCGTGGTATAGTTTGTGTTGGAAGGGACCTTAAGGATCACAGGGAAGCACTTCTAATATCTCACCGCAATCTCCCCTCTATGAGCTTGAGCACATTCCCCCTTATCCTGTCCTTACAGGCTCCAGTCAAAAGCCTTTGGGGTTGCCTCCCACCTTGTGGTACTTCCACTCCACTGCATCCTAAATCATCCTGGAGTTATAGAACAGGGCCTACTCAGGGTTCCTAGCTGTGTTCCTAGATTAGTGTTGCTGACTTCAATTAGTTTAATAACTAATAATAAAAACACTTTAATAACATTTTAAAAATAACTAATAATAATAAAAAGTTTAATAACTAATAATAAAATTAACAACTAATTATTAATCTTTACATTGGACTAGTGATTTTTGTTAGTTCTTGAGAGACATGGAAGAGGGCTGAAAAATGTGTCACCGGAAGTGTTCAAAGTCAAAACAGTCACAAAAAGGTGAATACGAAACAAACCCAGTGTAAGGTAACAGATGAGCATTTGAAATTACTTTTATTAGGATACATTTTTATAGCAAACTTCTGAAGGCAACAGCCTTTACTCAGTTTTTGTACCAGGGAAGGCTTGCAGGAACATGTGTATCTGGAAACAGACTTGGTGGAAAACAGTGGTGAAGAAAATCAGAGGAGATGAGGCCAGATGAGCTAAGAGAGAGCTGGCAGACATGATTTGCACGTTCACAGCAACTTCTGACAATATCCAAGAGCCATTTTTGGTTTTATTTCACCTGGGGAATTAAGTCTAAAAGGTTATATTTTGCAAGACAAATTTACAGTTACAAAATTTGAG